TGCTGAAGTGCACATCTGAGGATAAGACGCTAATGCTCTGAACCCTAGTTTCCTTCTTAGAGAAAGAAGATAATCCCCGCCTAGATAACATGACAGAATTGTTGAGGTTAACACATGAGGGCCTAAAATGATTAAAAGCAAAGCCTTCAGGTTGTTCTTCCTATGGGGATGTTTGAAAATGTTAAATGCTAGTGATCGATAAGTTGTTTTCAGCTCCGCTCAGGGAAAAATGGGCTGTTCACAGCCAGAAATCTCAAAAGACCCATCCAGCTGACAAAGTGAAAAGAGAACGCAGATCACACAGGGCAACGAGAACACAGAGTCCTCATGTCAAAGAAAGAGACCAAGAACTGCCACAGTCATTCCCTTCAACAGGCAACACAGCCATATTGCACTTGACAAAGTGAACTGGGGAACACAAAGGCTGTTTTTGAAAGCAAGCTAAAGTCTGGGCTGTGTGAGAAATTTGGGGGGAATTCGCATAAAAGCACTGAAGCCAGAAGGAGGGGAGGAAAGAAGGCAAGGGAGAAGTGAGGGCTAAGGATATCATGGGACACACAAGAAAGGACTGTAGGTACTGAGAGAAGATTCTAGATTACATGAGAAGGGCAGACCACTCCCTTGGGCACACTCGTTGAAAGATATCTCTTGGTTCCTAATTAGGAAAAGCTAGAGACTAATAAGAAATGCGTGACTTTTGGCAAACTGCTGAATCTTCTTTTAAAAACAAGCACTAACACTTCCTATCTTACAGAGCTGGTATCAATATTAAATGAAGGCCGGGAGAGGTGGCTCATGCCTGCAAGCCCTGCACTTTGGGAGGCCAAGATGGGAGGACTGACTGAGCCCAGGAGATCGAGATCAGCCCAGGCACCATAGTGAGACCTCATTTCTACAAAAATAAAAAATTAGCCAGGCTTGGTGTTATGCACCTGTTGTCACGGCTACTCGGGAGGCTGAGGTGGAAGAACTGCTTGAGCTCAGGAGGTTAACGCCGCCGTGAGCCATGATGGTACCGCTGCACTTCAGCCTAGGTGATAGAGTGAGACCCAGACTAAAAAAAAAAATTAATTAGTTAATTAAGTGAGATATTGAATGCAAATACACTTACAAAGTGCCCAGCATACAGCAAGTATAAACACTAGATCTTATTATTTAGTATTGTTTTTGAAACTACGTGATCTATCGTTCTCCACAAATCCCCTTACTATCTTCATGAATTCCACAGTCAAGGAACCTTCTAGGAAGAGTCTTGAACTTTATGTAGCTGACCTCTTATAAGCAAAACCAGAAAGCTGATGGACCACAGAACCAGTTCTGTGATGATGGACATGTTTTTCATCTGCACTGTCCAACACAGAGCCTCTAGCTACCTGGAGCTGTTGGGCACTTGAAAGTGCTGCCAAGGATGCAACATTTTTTATTTATTTAATTGTTGTTAATTTAAATTGTACTAAATGGACACATATCATACTGGGTAGTGTTGCCTTCAAGCACATCACCCCCATACATACCAAAAGACATTTGCAGAGGGTCACCGTGACCTTGTGCAGGGGTCCCAACCCCTGGCAGCACAGCAGGAGGTGAGAAGCGGACACGCGAGCAAAACTCCGCCTGCATTTGCTCCCCATCACTCGCGTTGCTGCCTGAGCGCCGCCTCCTTTCAGGTCAGCACCGAAACGCCTGCTTCCACTTTCAACACCCTATCTTTGTGAAGCAGCAGGGTTTTCTGCAGTGACAGCAACCAAGATGAGATGGTCGAGTCGACTGGACTGAGTGTCACTGTCTCTCCTCACCCCCAGATGAGACCATCTGGTTGCAGGGAAACAAGCTCAGGGCTCTCACTGGTTCTGCATTTCGGTGAGCTGTATAATCATTTCATTACATGTTACAATGTAATAACAGTAGAAATAAAGTGCACAGTAAATAATAAATAAATAAAGCACTCAAATCATCCCCAAACCCTCCCTCTCCCTTCCAGGTCCACGGAAAAGTTGTCTCCCGTGAAACTGGTCCCTGACGCCAGAAAGGCTGGGGACCACTGTCCTGGTGGGAGCATCTAGATCAGATGATCTGGGTTTGAATCCTGCCTCCACCCTTTAGAAACTGAACTATGCTGGGCAAATAACTCAAACTCCTATGCCTCAGTTTCAACCTGTGTACTATGAGGTTGATAACAGTGACAACTGTATTAGCTTATGAGGATGAAGTGAAGAGAATTCATATAACGTTTAGCATGCATCAGAATCACCTGAAGGCCAAGACACCAATTACTGGGTTCACCCCCCAAATTTCTGATTCAGTAGGTCTAAGGCAGAGCCAGAGAATCTACATTCTGAAAGAGTTCCCAAGTGACGCTCATGTTGCCGATGTGAGACCACACGTGGAAAAAGCGACAAGGCATTTGGTATGGTGTCTGATACACACTGAGAACGCAATGGTGTTAGTTACAGTTTTATGATAAGCATCTTTACAGTATGCCTCAATAGTATCTGGGGGGGTAACACTTTATTAGAAATTCCTAGCCCATTTCTGACACCCTTTTGATAAATGCTCACGAGGCACCTACAAATGGCAAGATACCCCCAGCTCTGAGTGACTAGTTGTGAAAGCGGGTCTGAAGTTGAGTTTGCCAACAGGTGAGGCTACAGAGCACCAATATTTCCCCCCACTTCAACTTTCCACAAAACAAAAGAAAAACAAGAATTAAAGTCACTTCTTGAGGTGACACAGACTTTTCTCTGACTCTTCATCTCTACTGGAAAGATTGTGAGGAAGCCTGTAAATGGTAAGTGGATGTGGACGGGATGTGATGATAGATCTAAACTCCAGCCTTGGCTCTTTTATCCACTTCCTGAGATCATGGGGTACGGTGGTTAAGTTTTTGTGTCAACTTGACTGGACTAAGGGACACCCAGAAAACTGGTAAAGCATTACTGGGTGTGTCTGTAAAGGTGCTTCTGGAAGAGACAACTGAATCAGTACAAAGATCCGCCTCATCAACGTTGGGCAGGTCTCACACAATCACTTGAGGACCCAACCAGAACACAAAGGCAAAGGAAGGGCAAGTTTGTCCCTTCCTTGAGCTGGGACACCCTCCTTCAGCCCTGGGACACTGGATCTCATGGTTCTCAGGACTTCATACTCTGAGACTTACACCTTTGGCCTTGAACTGAGAGTTTCATATTGGCATTCCTGCTTCTCAGGCTTTCACTCTGAATTATACCACCAGGCTTCCAGGTTCCCCAGCTTGCAGAGAGCATATAATGGGAGTCCTTAGCCTCCATGATCATGTGAGCCAGTTCCCACAATAAATCCTCTCTTAGGTGTCTCTGTGTATATCCTATTGGCTCTGTTTCTCTGGAGAATCCTAATACATTGGGCAATCATTATAGGCCACTTTTGGACTTGAGCATGTGGGTCACTTTGAGAAAATAACAACAGGATGCATACAAATCCAACCTTACCATGCACAGACTGGTGTTAACACAAGTTAACACAGTTTATGTTTTTCCCCTCTAAGATTATCTCCATAATGTCTTTGGTTCTTTGGAGGAAAGGTATTGTAAGGGGGTAAAAACTACACAGACTGACAAACAGACAATTGGTTTGATAGATCTACCTTTAACTTTGTTATTTTCTACTATTTATAACCCTTTCAAAGTTTCCTTTGAAAGAGAAAAAAAATCTTTGTATGAAATATGCTCAAAGAGACTCTACGGACTATAGACATCCCATTTCAAGATAAGAGCCAAGAGGCAAATGTTTCCTTTTCACATGATCCAGGCTAGTTCCAAGAATCTTTAAAAGGGTCTTTTGATTTGGATTCTGGAATGAAGTGTGTTGTGGTTTTTTGGATTTATATCTGTCCTGATACAAGAACCACTCCCTTCTCTTAGGAAACATGAGCAAAAATTATTTATCCAACATACTAGTCATGTATGTATAAATGGCACTCATTTGCAAAAAACTTCACAAGAAATTTCGGTCACAAAATCAGTCTTGCTAACAGGTCCTGGTATGTAAGTTAGAATTCTTATTTTCATTTTTCAGGTGTGGGAAAGGAGTTATGATTACTTAGAAACACTGAGGGAGATGCAAGATGGGAAGCTCCCTCTCATTGGGAATATCTGACTTGTCAGGTCTCACTACGATTTTGTCGGGCAGAAAACATTTTAAAGTGTCTCTGCAATAAGCATAGAAGACAGAACCAGGGACTTGACTTGGAGATTTTGAGGGGGAAATGTGACCAAGTTTGGGTGACTCCAGATCTAAAGTAGGCAGCTATTGGCTAAGTTCCTGACATCAGCAAAATCAGTAGCTTAGGTCCTGTATTTCCAAGAGCCACTTGCAAAATGAGAATGTTTAGAGGTTCAAACATGCTGCCTTTCGGGGTCTTGCGTTGATGAGAAAAGCACTACTCTTAGGAATAAGGAGTAAGGGTTTTATTCCTGGATTTGCATCTTACTGAGTGAAACTGCACCGGCTAACTGTACTCCTGAGCTTCGTTTTCCTCGTGTGTAAAATGGCAACCATTCTCCTACACAGTTCACAGGGGGTTGGTGAGACCCAGCTGAAGGGAAGACAAGGAAGGGTCAAAAATTCAGGGAGTTGGGCTCTTGAACAATAAATCAGGCTGAAATAATGCAGCCTTCTTAGAAGATCACACCCTGTAGCTCTGAATTAAGACACAGACAAATACTTGCTGGAACAGTTGGTGTGGTCTCTTGGAAAGTAAGTTAAGAAGCTTAAGTACATTACAGCAGGCACCGTCTCAGTGACAAATGAACTTATTGCTATGAGATTTGAATACAAATGAGATCAAAGGACATCTCAATAATTAATAGGTCTAAGACCTGTAGCAGTGATTTTTAAAAGGGGTGGCACAGACAAAGTGAGCACCTTTTAAGTACTCCAGAGAGAAGCACAAATGATAACCCATTGCCCAAATGACTGCTTACCTCAATCACAATTGTGTAGATCAAGGAGTGAGCCTCAAATAATTGGAAATTCATACAGCTATGCCTTCTTTAATGTTTTGTTTTTTTTCTGGTCGCAGCACTCTGCTGATGGGGTTTAGAACACTGTTCTACTTGAGAGCTACACAGCATTAGTCATCAAATGAAGCCGATAACCAACCATAACAAATACCAAATTAAATGTCCCCAAACCGTAACTCTTTGCTTTTGAGGAAAGCCGCCTTTAGCGGAGTGCACAGACTGTAAGACACACAGGCCTTTTTAGGATTCACTGAAACTTCCTATAGAAACCCCACCAATTTCTTCACCTCCTGGCACACAGGGTATGCTAATTCTTTGGCTTTTGCAGACCCAGCTTGTAAAACCTTCTCTAAATGGTCCTGGTCCATCTTCAGTTTTTTAATTTCACTCTTAATTGGAGCAAATTTCTCAATCACAGCATCTGCCACCATCAGCTTGTAGTGAGCTGTGTCCAGGCCTATGCTATGCTGTACCACTTCCTCCACGGTGAGCCCAGTCACTGCCGCATGGATGGCCACCATGTTGGAGACGCCCTCCCGGCTGGCCGGGTCGTAGGTGACCTCTGAGGTGAAGTCTGTCACAGCCTTGCGGAATTTCTGCACTATCTCCTCTGGGCTGTCTGTTATTCGGACGGTGGCCAGTTTGTCAGGGTCTGATTTTGACATTTTGGCAGAAGGATCACGAAGGGATTTTACCTTCTTCATTGATGCTATGTAAAAACACCAACACACACACATGAAAAACAAAAACAAAACAAACACCAAGAATGTCACTCTCTAGATCTTAAAAACCCCAAGAATACCAAGTGACAATTACTTTTAACTGATTATACAAATAGTAAACACATTGTGAAAAAGTTCATGCTATATATATACACACACACAGAGAGAGAGAGAGAGAGAGAGAGAGAAAGCAAAGACCATCTGAAATACTGTTAACATTTTGTTGATTTTTTCAGGCATCTTTTAATGCATATATCCACTTAAAAATGTATAATCTTAAACAAATGAAATTGTGTCATCATTCTGTTTTTACTTTTTTAGAAAGAACTGTTTATTTCTTTCCTCTCTCTGCTTTTCTCTACCAGTTACCCCCTGTACACGACCCCTGCCCTTCCAGGTCCCAACCAATTTTTTTTTTTGAGTCGGAATCTCACTCCTTCGCCCAGGCTGGAGTAGCGCAGTGACACGCACGCTCATGGCCACCCCAGCGTTGAGCTGCTGGGCTCCAGCAATCCTTCTGTCTCAGCCTTCCAAGTAGCTAGAACTACAGACATGCGCTATCACGTCCGGCTATTTTTATTTTATTGTAGAGACGAGGTCTCACCAAGTTGCCCGGGCTTGTCTAGAACCCGCAGGCTCAGGCAATCCACTCACCTCGGTCTCCCAAAGTGCTGGGATGACAGGCTGAGCCATCGACCCCCACCACCCTCAACCAATTTTAACAATCTGTGACAATCTTTCCATTTCTTTACCCAAGATTACAAGAATATATACCAACACATACACACACACACACACACACACACGGGAGAAAGTGACCTGTTTATTGCTCTGATAGAATCAAGATGTTAAGCTGTGCTTAATAAACCAGTGTTATTAATAATTACCTATTTTATGGCTAGTACAGAAGCATATAAAATTAAAATAGATAAAATAATAAGCTAAAACACTAAAATATTACTCATTGCTAAAAGAAGGTTGATTTCAATGCAAAAGGGCACCCTTAATTTATGTGTAAACTGTTGGAATAGCTTAAAAATGTATGCCTGCCTTACGTTTCTAAATTAACACTAGGCACATGTTATACTCCTTTACAATGCTGTCAGCTTAATAAAGATGGACAGTGGTTAGGTTCAGTGATCTCTGCCCCTGCCACAAGTTTACATTGCTACCAAAACTTTGATAGAGATTTACAGCTTCTTTCCACAAGAAGATGCCAGACTAGCACTGACTCGAAGGCTCAAGTCGACATTTCAGATTCAGTAGGTGGACTGCTCATTCCATCTCAGTTGTTCATTAAGAAAACAGAATATAAGGATTATCATTTCTCTGTTGTGTATTGGTTCCCAACCTGTGATGGTCTGACTCACAATTTTTCAAGTTTACGATGTTACAAAAGCAATGCCCACTCAGTAGAAACCACACTTCAAGTACCCACACAAACATTCTGCTTTTCACTTTCATTATTCAGTAAATCGTATGAGATACTCAACATGTTGATGTAAGTGTTCTGAGCACATTTAAGGTTGGCTGCGCTAAGCTGTGATATTCAGTAGATTAGGTGTATTAAATACATTTTCAGTTTATGATATTGTCAATTTATGAGCAGTTTATCAGGATGTAATCCCATCATAAGGCAAGGACATCTGTTTATATAATTTTGTAAATTATATGATATTCTATAAATAAAAATGTTATTTTAAAATTTTGGCCTCTCTTATACTTCTTCAACTGTTTTTAGTTGTCTTCCTCAATAACCCAGCATGGTCCACTTGTTCTACGATACAGAAAAGCAATGAGGTTTCTGGTTACAAATCCTACAGCCTGACCACGTGAAAACTGACTGGAGTCCTAAGAAAGTTCTAAGCCCCTATCTTTTATCCAGTGCGCTCTTCCAAATATGTCCCGATGCAACAATCATACATTTGCTGCTTACTTAGAATGGACTTGGGCACCGGAAAGAACTCCCCATACTTCGTGTTGAAACCTCGTGCCAGATCCTGAACCAGTTCCATGTGCTGGACTTGATCCTCCCCGACAGGAACGTGTGTGGACCTTTAATAAAAGACAGAGAGAAAAAGGAGTAAGGCTCCTTCTTAGACGGAAATGATATCGCAAGCAGCTGCATTTCCCGTGCCTGTTTCACTGTGGGTGTTCAACAAATGTTCACCAACTGCAGAGGGAACGTAGAGACCAAGTCTTTATCTTTATATCAGACAAATGCCAAAGAGATCTTTGTCTACTCTAGTTGTGTTTCTTCCATAGCAGAAGAATACAGCCATCAACACCAGCATGACAGGATCTTGCTGGGAGGGACAAATGGGATTCTAAATAGCACATGCTCTTTGCATAATTGTATTTTAAAACCACTCCTCATTCCCTCACCCAGTCAGCACGTATTAGCTCAGCCTTAACCAGATGCTTTTTACCTCAGAGCTGTGGCTCACACTTGAAATACACCCCACCCCACTCCTCAAATCAAAGGTGGCAGAAAGCCTTTTAGGCAAGAGTTTCTCCTCCCTGTTACACAGGGCAAAGCACAAATTCTTTTGAAATGTACTTTTTCATTCTCAAGTAAATTGTAATCACAGGACAATTAATACGCTACGGGGAACTTAAATAAACAAAAGGTATAAGTGCATTGTAGACAAATCTCAAAACCAACATGGGATGAAAAAATCAAGTTGCAAAAAACATGTATTGCCACTTATGTCAATATTAAAAGTACATTTGAAAATGCTACATATTGTTTATAGATGCATATGTCTGTAATAATAAGTATAAAAACATACTGGAAGTTCCTCCCAAAATTCATAATCAAAGCTGCTTCTAGAGAAAGCGGGAGGGAAATGGGTCTGAGGAAAGGAACAGAAGAGATCCGAATTTTATCTGTAATATTTTATCTGATTAAAAAATGAAGATGCAAAACAAAAAAATCAGAGTACATACCGGGAACTACTTATAATGGTTTTAATCCCACATAAAAAGTTTGCAGTGTCAGATCACGGTGTGATACACCAAAAGGGAAGAATTAAGCATTATAGAGAAGTCTTGATGAGGAAAACTTTATACTGAAGTATAAAGTATATTGTGGGGTAAAACAGGCACTTTTAAATATTTAAGGCTTGGCTGGCTAACTTGTATTTGATAACACAAGTAATAAAGTGCTGACATTTCTTGATCCAGGATGTTTAATGCTGCTTCTGTGAAAGAAGGGGTGAGTTATAAGCAGGTTTCCTTAGGAAGTTTCTAAGCCTTCATTTCCTCTGTAAAGTGGGGTTCATAATGGTGTTTACCTCATATGGCTGTTCAAGGATTCCCAAGCATAGGGCTTGGCAGTGAGAGCGCAATAAATGCTGGCTATTGGTATATATTTAATATCTGACATGATGAAGGACAAATGAGGAACCTGGATGAGGTATATACTGCGACTTGTTTCAAAAAGGATCATTTGCCTTTTTCATAGCTGACACACCACTCACACAGATATCAATGCATAATCCCAGACAGGCATAGACCTGGGCAGCCATCCTGACATGGGCAGAAGCCGTACTTGAAACTGACAATTCACATATCTGGCAAGTAACCCAAAAATACAGATGGTATGCTACAGGAATGCTGGGGGCTCTTTTCATGTAAGGAAAACAGGACAGAACAATGAATGGAAAGGCAAAATGCAAGGACCATGGCAGTGGATCCAGAGATGGGTTCTCTCCTAAGGTTGGTAAACGAATGTGGGAAACTCCGCAAGACGACTGTGAGGGTCACCTCCATTGCTGTCTTCCTCACAGACTGGAACAGAAAGCCACTGGCTCGGGAGTGGTCAAAACAAAAACGCTCCTTCTCATGCTCTCCTCAGCACCCACAGCCCTGCATGGTGTTCCTCGCTGAGATGCACAAACACCTGCCCCACCTTTGTAAATTTCTCTCCCTTGAGTGGACTGTGCTGCTTCTGTCTTGTAAGTATAGTGAGGCTGACATGCAGGGGTCACCTTGACGCCCCAGACCAAATGAGCCCACAGAGCAGGTTAAAAAGCAATTACAGTAGCCCACAGGAAATCACAATGGACTGCAACTAACACAGAAAAAACAATTACCATAATCAATACACTTTAAGCACATCAAAATGAGTATTTCCACATGTCAGAATGGTTCCAGATTCACAAAGCAACCAAACTAAACAGAAAACACATTTAGTTTTCATAATGACTCCGCACGCATCTTGCCCTGATGTCGGGCCCTTGCCTCTTTTCCCACAATTCTGTGGGGCTTCGCTTTTTCACAAAGGAGTTGAGCAATTTTAATTTTTTTCACCTGGCCTCTTGCTCCGCTTGGGTTCTCATCTGATTTCGGTGTGTTGGCTTCTCGTCTCTGCCCCCTGCTCCCGCTGCTCCTTTCGCCTCCTGTCACTTATCTCGGCCGCTCCACTCATCCACTGAGTTCACACTGCATGTTAATTCAGCCTGTCTTGGCGTCTCCTCACTTGCGGCGCTTATGCTCTTCACATTTCCCCCTCTCTCTTCAGTCTTCCCCTCACTTCAAATAATGCAGTGCTGCGCTTTTAAAATGTATACCCTACATAATGATATCCATATTAATGCCTTCTATTTTCTTTCTTTTTTTTCACTCACCCTGACTGTGCTTTCTTAGACACAACATAAAACAAAAGTCTTTCATAATTTTGATTGTTATAACTTCTGTCACATAATAATGCCTCTGATCTTCTTCTCTGGTGACTAAACCATTTTTCTTTCGCTTAGTTCCTCTCTGCATCTACATTTGCTTGAGATCCACCCCACCCCTCTGGCAGAATTAGTGTCCAGATGAATAATCATCACTTACATATATCTGTTCACAGAGATTTGTTCTCTTATTATTACTATTTTTTTCTCTTCTTTGTTGGCCATGTTTGTAAGATTTCAGTGCTGCTGCCTTTTACTGGCCTGGCTGGGGCTGGAGTGTGGTGCTGTTTTCCTGTTGTAAAGGACGGATTCCTCATCATTGGTGGTTTCTTTGATATGCTATAATGACTTTTTAATTCAGCGGTTACTTATTGAAGACCCACGATGTGAAAGGCCTGGTGCTATACTGTGAGAGATATAATGATGGGTTTTAAGTTCTAGAGATTTAAGGCCTGCAGAAGGAAAGATAACAGCAAATGAAGCTATAAATTCTTCTGGCGAATACTCTTTTGTTATCCCCGGTCTCAGTGCACGGCAACATTATCAAACCTGTTGCAAAAGCCAGAAATGTGGGGTCATGAGCCAGGCACGGTGGATCATGCCTGTCTGTAATCCCAGCACTTTGAAAGGCCAAGTAAAGAGGATTGTTGGAGCTGGAGACCAGCCTAGGCAACACAGCGAGACCTGGTCTCTACAAAGTATTAGCCAGGCGTGCCAGCATGCACCTGTAGCTCCAGCTTTTCAGGGGCTGAGGCGGGAGTTTGACACTGCAATGAACCATGATCAAGCTACTGCACTCCAGTCTGGGCAACAGAGTGAGACCCTGACTCAGGGGGAAAAAAAAAAAACCAAACCCAAAACATAAGAAATGTGGGGTCATGAGCCAGGCACAGTGGATCGCACCTGTCTGTAATCCCAGCACTTTGAAAGGCCAAGTAAAGAGGATTGCTGGAGCTGGAGACCAGCCTAGGCAACACAGCGAGACCTGGTCTCTACAAAGAATTAGCCAGGCATGTCAGCATGCACCTGTAGCTCCAGCTTCTCAGGGGCTAAGGCGGGAGTTTGACACTGCAATGAACCATGATCAAGCTACTGCACTCCAGTCTGGGCAACAGAGTGAGACCCTGACTCAGGAAAAAAAAAAAAAAAAACCAAACCCAAAACAATAAGAAATGTGGAGTCATCCCTGACACCTTCCTCCCATAAACATCCAAGTCCTGTCAGTTTTGTCAAAAAATGTCTTACATTTGTCTACTTCTCTTTGTCTTCATTGTCACTATCATGGTCCAAATTCGACTAGTGAAATAGCCTCTGAATAGATTGCCCCAGATATTCTTGTTCTCCTAAAATACATTCTCTATATTTTAATCAATTCTTTTTCAAAAGAGTAAGTCATGTAAAGTTCACTGTGTCCTTAAAATATACAAGCAGGTTCTCATTACTTTTTAAAGACTGTACTGGATTGTCTGTTGACATCTCAGTACTATTGGCTTCCTTCCACTTATCTCCTGATTTTCAGGGCTAGCAGCCTAGAAACTACATTTCTCAGACTGCCTTTCAGTAGGGTTCTGGTTTAGTGTATGCACTTGCCCAGTAGAGGAAAAATGGAAAGAGAGAGAGAATAAATTATTGCTTAGGTAAGGTGGGTGAATATGTGGATATGAGCAGACTGCAGAACTTTACAGCTTCTAGGGTCTCAGACAAATCCAGACTAGACTGGCCTCATGAAGAATGAATGGAGTTCAAGGACTAGAAGTCTCCAAAGCAGCTTTAGGAACACTAAAATTTTTAGAAAAAGCTCTCAAAAAGCTTATTTTCAATTGTCCTTACTGGCAGTAGTCTAACACCTCTTCACTGATTCCACCAGCCTGAAGTTTCTGACCAATGAGTTTACTCTCTATGCTTTTTGGTTTTGGTTTGGTTTGATTTCTGCTTACTCGGTTTCTTGAGGCTTTTGTTGCCTTATTTTTCTGTCATTTTAGCTTTTGTTTTCATGGTCTTCTTATCCTCTTCTCATGTTTCTCAAATCCTTGAGAAAAGAACCTGATTAGCTCAGGTACTCACTCTCATGTCTATTTGAGCAGAATTAGGGGTACCTCTCTGAAACTTCATTTCTTTATTTGTGAGATGGGGACAATACCCATAACCTGTTTTACAAAGCTGCTGTGAGGCGTGAATGGATAATGTGTGTGTAGCAGCTAGGATGATGCCTGGCAGACGATGCTCAACATCTCAAGACTGTCCTTTCCTTCCCCTCAAGGCCATGCATGGTGCCTTTTTCTGAGTCAGTGGCACTGCGGGTATTTGACAAACAGCTGTTGCATGTTAATACAAATTATAGATGTATGTGTGTGCCTTTGTATATATTTGTGTGTATAAAGAAATGTATACAAAAACACATGTATGCACACACACATATATACGTAGACACAGAAAGAGAAAGGAGAAATATTTACTTAATTTATAGTCAGCTATCTGAAATTAGGCATTCAGAAAAATAATATAGATACACAATAAAAGCTGTAAACACCTGCTACTTTTGAGTATTATTTTTTCTTTCTTCAAATATCTGCTAATCATACTCTCCAGCTAAAGATGGTCTCAGTTCTTGATTCCTGGGTTTCTTATACAAGTTCTGCCAAAACAGCTATATAAATCTTTTGTAAATTTACTTGGAAGGCTCCTCTTCCATTTCTTTACCTGTGATTGTTCTCTGGCCCAGCATGCCACTCATGCTAATAATGATCTTGACAACAGCAAACACTAAATCTGTATCTGGCGTACATCATCATTTTATGAAGTGGCCACACACAAATGTTTTGTCCATCCTTCAGTCTACCCTCCTGCCTGTCTATCTTTAAAATTCAAATCTTCGTCGGCATTCTGGCTATGACCTTTTTTCAAAATCCAGAAATATGTGAAACAAACAAAACCAGACAAAAATTACAAACACTCTCAGTATTTGATCCCTGTTACAGAGAACACAGTGGCACAGGCTACATCATTGTATTCAGTCAGGCATGGGTTTGAGTCTTGCCTCTGCCACTTATTATCAAACAATTCTGAATTTCTGCACTTGGGAGGAAACATAGCCAGACAGATGAAAAAATGTACATAAGCAGAAAAAGTGCTGTAGACCCATAATCATGCCCTGACTTTCCACTGTCCACTGACTGGCTACACAACTTTGGACAAGTTGCTTAATCTTTCTGGGCTACACTTAAAAGCAAGAGAATGAAAGAAGAGACTCTTTAACACTCCTTTCCACTCTGCGCTCCATGGTATCATAAGAAGGGCATTCATTCTTGCTAAAATTTATCCTTTTTGCAGCTCTGAGCTCAGAGGACTCTTCCAGTACAGCTCTTGAACTGTTAAAGAAAATGTGTGTCTTTTTTTTCTGGTTTTGAAAAGTCTCGGTCTTTGGTTCTTTTCAGCGATGAGGTCTCTTCAGCTACCTTGCCCAAGTTAAACGTGAACTTCTGGGCTCAAGTGAGCCTCTGGTCTCAGTCTCTCAAGTAGCTGGGACAACTACAGGTGCCTGCCACTGCACTCAGCTAGACTTTGGTTCTATAAAGAAGCAGGCCTTGAAAACAAAATTAGGCATCAGATTGTGATCCTCAAAGATATAATCATCCTCAATCATAATCAAGTAGCACCTCCTAATCACAGTATTTCCTGGATCATAATTCATTTTAATCCTCTAGTAATACTGTGCAGAATAATTGTTCCCATTTTACAGGTGAGAAAATCAAGTTTCTTCATAAAACCTTTTAAAGGAAATATCCTACTTCACTAGGAAATGCATTATTAACACTTTTATTAGACTTTTATTTGCTATCAACTAGAGAAAAGTGTTCTAGACTTCCCCCAAATAAATCAAGTCATTTATTACAAATCAAAAATTGTATCAAGAACCAAGCATTCAAGTTAATACAACAAACAGACAATCTTACAAGTTTTAATCAGAATTAAACGTAGACTGCATGTGTTCATGGACATTCCCTATTTGTAGAGTTAAGCAGCTGCTCTTCCGGTTGTTTCCATCATAAATGCATACTGTCATCTCCATGCTAGTATTGGACTTACATGCAAAGAATTCTAGTTCTCCAAGGGAAGAATCATGGCTTTTAGGGAAACGGGGTGTAAAAACAGTGGAGGAATTTCTTTTTTCCCAGAAGATTTTATAGTAGCATGACTAAGGCTATAAGTGTCTGCCGAATGAAAGGCTTTATCTCTTGAAGCCCAAACTGGGGCCAAGGGAGATTGATGAGGGAATGACAGGAAAGGACTGGGAGAAGGATGAGATGGGAAGCCCTGATCAGCAGCACAGAGAGTGCAGGGGTCTGCATGCTCAGTAGTATTTTTCGGAGGCTTTAAGTGGTACCAATAGCTGAGTGGATGGATTATGGGGCCAGGAAAAGTATAGTTACCCTGCATCATGGTTAAAAACTTGCTCTTGGCAGCTCGGTGGCTCAGCCTGTAATCTCACGCTTTGGGAGGCCAAGGTGAGTGGATTGCCTGAGCCCGCAGATTCGAGACCCGCCTGGGCAACTTGGCGAGACCTCATCTCTATAATAAATCAGAAACTAGCCAGGTGTGGTAGTGCACGCCTGTAGTTTCAGCTACTTGGAAGGCTGAGGCGGAAGGATCGCCGGAACCCAGCAGGTTGAGGCTGCGGTGGCCGGGAGCGGCCACTGCACTCCAGTCTGGGTGACAGAGTGAGACTTCAACTCAAAAAAATAAATAAATAAATAAAAATAAAATAAAAACTTGCTTTCAACCTGTAGGTCTAATACAGTCACCACTAGCCACAGGTAGCTATTTAAATTTAAAATAAACAAAATGAAATAAAATTTAAAATTAAGTTCCATGGCAACATTTCAAGTGTTGAAGAGCCACCTGTGGCCAGTGGCTACAGTATTAGAAAGCACAAACAGAACATTTCCCTAATCAATAGCCAGTTCTACTGAACAGCATTGCTTTAGAGACTAGATCATACAAGAAATCAACATTTAAAACACTTGAAGTTTAACTATTACTTGGGAAACATACATGGCATAGTGACTAAGAACACAGTCCTTGTCCTCAAACTGCCTGGACTCAAGTCCTGGCTCCAATTCTTGCTAGCTACATGGCTTTAGGCACACGACTAATCACTGTGCGCCTCAGTTTCCTCGTCTGTAAAATGGGGATGATGATAATGCAAACTTTAGAAGGTTCTCATGAGGATTATTGTATGCAAGGCACTTATGACGGTCTCTGACACATAATAAGTGATATTGCAATCTTAGCTCTCTATATTACTAGTTTCTCTTGGAAACATACTTCTATAATTTAGTACCTGCTACTGAGGAGTTCATAGAAACTGACTGACATATCTGATCCTTCCTGTGGCCCTAGCCCATGGACCAAATCTTTGTCAGATAGGTTAAAACACTCGCTTGTCATGTCGCATGTGTATAAGACCAGGGATGGACTCTCGTCTTACTTGTACAGCAGAATGTCAGCTGCTTGGAGTACCGGGTACGTGAGCAGACCCACTGTCCCGTCGTGCTTCTGCTTGGCAGTCTTCGCCTGCGGGAGGGGAAAAGAGAGGAGGGCAAGAAATCTGACTCAAACCTGACCATACGGCTCAATCGAGAAACTGCAAAAGCTGGCAAAGTGTGATCTGAAGCCACTTGCAACAACATCGTATCTCAGTTCCTGTGAGCAACTCAAGCCGTTTTGAGTAGGCTTGTCTTCATGCTTAGTCAGGGACAAGGTGAATCTATTTTGCCAATGCCCCTTTAAAGGATCCTGCCGTTATTTCTTACTCATTTTATTAAAGTAAGAATGTAAGAGTTTTCCAGGTTCCTAGTCAAATAAATTTCAGATTTCACAGATAAGGTACTACGTTATTGTGAAATTAAATTTCTACAAATTAACACGTAAAAAAAAAGTATTAACATCAAAAGCCCTATTGTTTATCTGTTTAAACAAAAATGAAATTAAATAAGAGAAATTTTAATCTAACCAATCCTAATGACCTGTCTTGAAGGTGATAAGGCACACTGAAGAACTGAGGGAACATTGACCCAAAGCACAGTACAGGTTGTACAGATCAAGATAGTTGTTTAATGGAGCTGTGCAGGGGTCAGCAGAGGTAACATTAGAAATATTAAATAACTAGGGAGCAATAGGTGCCGACTATGAACTACTAGAGTGTACCAGCTAAACATGAGGCCTAGTGATACTAACTCCCTTGCTGCAGGTGAATATGGCTGACATAGAATTTGGTTCTCTGAGTAGAGCTACTTATTAGAAAGGAATAATGTGCACAGTTCTGAGGCCTAGGTAGAGCATATCTTATAAAACACTTTGGATATTTTGGTGTACAGATAAAATTCATTCATTCAGTTAATATGAATCATTTCTCTCAAGTTCAATTATTTCTGAATTAACTGAACAGCTGAATTTATAAACTTGTATGATTCCAGGGACCAAGTTCATGAGCTCACATGCTTCCCCACCAACATACAGACACACCCTTTAAGGCTGGGCCTGAAAATGCAACATCTTCTCTCTTTACCCATCTTAATTTCAGTGTTGTATATTTTAGCTACAAACTTAATTTTAATTTTAAACTTCAAGTAATTTCTGGCTTATAGCAACCAATGTTATTGGCCATTCAAAGAAAATCTGAAACTTTGAACATACAATTTCTTTAGTACATCCCTTAATTACCATGTTCAGAATAAAGGCTAGTTCACAACTATCTAATGTAAGTTTAATTTGGAAATGGGAAAATAATCTGCATTTACAGTCTTTTTATATTAGCATACTTGACCTTGAAATTACAATAAAAGGGGGAGATGTGAACATTAATATTTGTTGAGCACCCATTATGTGCCCCGGATGCCTTACATACATGTTACTCACTAATTGTCCAAATTGCCCAAACCTCAGCAACCCTGATCCCACCCTTCCATGCCACTGTCCCATCCCTCACTGTCTGAATCAAAACCAAGCTGGGTACTCTTATCAGATCTTCCATGTCCCTCAGAGCATTTATCACACTTTCTTATTACTTGTTTAATTGCCTCTTTCCCAATAGTTACAAGCCTCATGAAGCTTCCTCTGTTGACTGCTATGTCTGTAGCACCTAGCATGACAAAGTATCACTAGCATTTGTTACTGAAGGAACAACCACAAAAGTAGCATGCCCTGAGATAAGACTGGGACTTGAAGTCCATGTTCTTTTCACAAGTAAGAAATCATGGACTAGTGGAAAGGCTTTTCCAGAATATAAGTACATTCATTAGTAGTATGTTATCAGGATATCCTTAGATAACATTTTAAAGTGGGAACAGTTCTTACTAAATTAGTATTCAGGTTCTATAAAAAGGGTTTCAGCATTATACTTAGTGGTAGAATGTTTTGATAAAATGGGAAGGTCTTGCCTAAAAACAAGTATGGCAGAAAACATTAAGAAATGTTGTTTTTAATTCTTGGCAAGTAATGAATCTGCAACATGACTGATACTGTCTTTTTATTTCCTGTCTTAGTTCACTAAAACTGCTATCACAAAACACCACCCCAGATAGTTTATTAACAACATAAATGCATTTCTCACAGTTCTGGAGGCTGGGAAGTCCAACATTAAGGCAGTCGGTGTCTGGTGGGGGATCACTTCCTGGTTCCGGACCGTGCCTTCTCACTGTGCTTGCACATGATGGGAGGGGCAAGGGTCTCTCCTGGGCCTCTTTTATAAGAGTGCTCATCCCATTCATAAGGGCTTCACGCTTACACTCTAATGATCTCCCAAAGGCCCCACCTCCTAATACCATCATCTTGGGGGTTCAGTTTCCACGTGTGAATTTCAGGGGGATGCCACACTTTGAGCCACTGCACTCAGGCGCTGTCACCATGAAACCCTCTCTGTTTTTTGACTATAGCACATGCAAAGACTCCCGAAGATCGGCTTCTGAGGAAATCTGTGGCCCTCAAAATAGACTTGAAAGAGGCTTGAAACTGAAATTAGTGCTGATGTAGTTAGGGGCTACCTACCCTGGGATTATCCAATTGCAAAAATAAATGGAAGTAAAGAACTATGAATTATCCAATTTATCTTTCTTAGTTGAACTTCTTAGAAAAAATACAGCCGTAATTTTTCTGTGGGTTTAAACTGTTGCCTGGACTCAACTTGTTTAAATGTTAAATAAACTATGTTGTCTCTTCTCCCACAATGAAAACATTCTTTCCTTACTGCCAGCTAATTCCAGTGCAGATGGGAGGGAACTTCAGGATCTAGTGATCCAGAATTTGTGATTGTTTGATAACTACAAAGTGGTAGGGTCAAAGTCATTACCAAGTCTATCCAAAGGTAACTCTGATTCAACTATACACAGATAAAAACAAACAACTAATGACATTTTTAGGTCAGAAGGAATCTTGGATAACCTTTTACTTTCCCTTTAATACCCTGAAGTAGAGAGATTAAAGATGCTGTTCCAGTCATTAGTGAGTAGCAGACCAAGGAGGAGAATAAACCCCGGACTCCCAGAGCCTGACACAAAAATAAACAGCAAGGGAAAAACAGCTTCCTTTCTATTTATTAACCAGATCCCTGGCATTTACCTTCCACTGGTGTAAATGTTGTAATCGAGGTAGTCTGACCATGCAGGAAAGGATCCAACTTAACTGTGCATGTTCGGGCACCTAAAGAAATAAAACAGAACATTAACAAAGGTGGCCAACGTTTTCTTGCATAGTAAAAAAACAAAAAAAACTAAACAGGCAACAGGTATTACCTTAAATGGCTGAAAATAATATCCCAAATCAAGGTTATTTTAAAAAAAGGAAAAGGAGCCTTGCTCTCATTTATGATGCATAAATTCTATACAAAAAGAAATTCATAAAAGCTAACGGATCCAATGACTAATCTAGATTTAAATTTTCTCCAGAACATTCTTAGTAAGTAGGTAACCAGACTCTGCTTCAACATCTTCAATGACAGAGTTTCATTATGCTCTGAGGCCTCTATTTTATCTTTTAAAAAGCCAGGTTTATTCAGAGACATACTGGTTCCAATCCCTTTCTAAATAACTTCTAATTAAACAGCTATAATACCACACATGTAAATGCGAGAGAAAGGCACTGGACTTTAAATTAAAGAATTTTTTTTTTTAGATCTAGAATGATTTGAAAGTTAGGAATCACTTTATCATCCCATCTTCTCATATGGTATTTTATAGCTTCTAGTTCCCCCCTTCCTCCTTCTCCTCCTTCTCCTCCTTTCTCTTCTTTCTTTCTTTCTTTCCTTTTTTTTACGATTAGAAAATATAGTTTATTTAGAAAGTAAGTGAGAAAGAGAGGGAATTTACCTCCCCAAGGTAGGAAAGGGGGCCAAAGCCAGGAAACATGGCGATGGCCACTTTCTTTCTTTTAAAGAAGAGGTCTAGTCAATATGAAAATAAAAACTTTTCTCAAATTATTTTTGTTTGAACTAAACTTAATCAAGTAACCAAACCTGGCAACAACTGGGATAAATCTTGGGCTCGGGTCACATTCTGATGACCTAGAATTTGAGTGCTCTGCATCCCATTTCTGGACCCTTGGGATTCCAAGTCCTTCATCGACCAATCCATCTTTTGTGTGTCCATATGATTTCCTTAAAAAACAGAGGCTGTTGCCAACTCTAAGAAGTGGCCCCAAATGTGTTCTTTGTGGGTTTTGCAAAGGAACATAAAGGAAGGGAACTGGCCGATTTTACTAGCTAGGAATCATCATCTGGTGTGTAACCGTTTTTCATTTTTCCCCCTAAGTTATAGAAAAGGAAGAATCGTTTTTCACGTGTTTGACAAGGAATCCCTTTTAAGGCTCTGCAAGGCTCTGGGCTGACTCTGTCATCCTTCTTCCAAGAGGCATTAGGTTCCATTAAGGGTAATGACTTTGACAGCACTGACCATGTAAATTGGTAACCGCTGCTGTAAACAAACAGCTATCATACAAAAACAGTAACCCTGGATGTAAGCAAGAAAATTAGAGCTGCTTCCAATCATCAAGCGAAACACATTCCCATTAGGACCAATAAAACAAGAGCTATTTTTTGGCACAAAGAAGTTGGAGAGAATCTTATTTTCTTCTTTGCTGAATTGGGGAATAGAAATAACCATGGACATGTGGAAAGAGACAAGATGACGCCTCTTCAACCCTGGCTCAAATGCTTAGCTTTGGTGATATACAAAAAGCTACCACCATGTCTCCATGAAGTCAAGTGTTTTCCTTGGAGTAGCTTTTTATTTGGACATATGGAGTGAACGTTACTTAATATTCTGTAGAGATCCTCCTGGTGTTTTCACACTAGTGAGCATAAAATTAAGTCACAGTATCCTCATACAGAAAAAGTGGGTAAAAGGTCAATCACAATTACTGTTTCACAATTCATCTTTAATAATTACATTAACAGGGTAGTACACTTCAGGATTTGGCTTTCTTACTTTATTTATATTCATGATAATTGCTTAGAATTTTCAGATTTCTATCTGGAGGAAAAAGGAAAAAATAGTATTTAAACAAAATATTTTCTGACATGCTGTGAAACCACAAACAAATGATATAACCTGTTTTAGCCACAGAAAAACAAAGGCATGGAACAATAAAGTGGCTTATTGACCATCCACAAACAAGTCAGCAGTAATGAGCAGAGACAAATTGGAGATTAACAAGCAAAGACATATGTATTCTTCAGTAGCAGTTTTGCCTCTCTTGTTCACTGTTGTAAAATATAGCCTTATACATTAAATGTGCTCCATAAATATTTGCTGAATGTGTGAATAATATCAACGGCTGCAGAAAGAATAGGACCATTAGATTTGGCAACTGACTTGATGATCCAGGCATAAGCAGTTTCACGGGAATAACTGGAATGAAAGCTAAATTATAGTGCCCTGCGGAGTGAGCCTAGGAGGCAGGACACGAACATAGTTATTCAAGAGGCATAGCAGAGCGGTTAGGAGCTCTGTCTTTGGAGTGAGGTTGCCTAGCCTGAACACTAATTTTGCCACTGGTTATCTGGGTGACCTGAGTAAGTAACTTAACCTCTCTGTGCCTCAGTTTTGTCATCTATAAAATGAGGTTAACCTCAGGTATCCTCCTGACAGTGCGTAAACAGTATCTAGCACATAGTAAGCACTCAATAAATGGTGGTTGTTTTTATTATAAATATTTTTTAGAAGTGCTTTTGTTTTAACTTTTTATTTTAAGGTAATTGTAAATTCACAAACAGTTGCAAGAAATAATACAGAGATATCACATACCTTTTACCCAATTTCTCCCAATGGCAACATCTTGCATAACTATCATTTAATGTCACAATCAGAAAAGTGAATTTGATGCAATTTAGATGTTGTTTGTTTTACAAGCGCTAATTATGTGGGTGTATTTGGTGCTATGTACTTTTATCATATGTGTACAACATTTGTCTTTGGGGTTTTTTTTAAGGAAAGACAGAGATGGGATAACTGGTAAAAGTAAAAATCTTATTTTGCTTTTTAAGGTGGAACAGATCTACCATCTAGGTGCGAAGCACAAGGAGCACCAGTAAAGATTCAGGAGAAAAGACAATTCAAAGAACAATATTTCTGAAAGAGGAAATGAAATTACACCCGGCATGGTTAAAAGAGTGGATGATGAAACATCTTCCAGTGAGACAGGGGAGGAGAAAGTAAATGAAGATGAGGATGTATCTGGTGAACTGGAGTGGAAGGCAGAAAGAGGAATTTACATATGACAGGCTCTGTTATCCCTAAACATAGAAGACAGAGCAATTCGGAATAAAGGAGACAAGACATACACTCAACAGAATTGCTGTGCTTGATAGGAAGAAACAAAAGTTCTTAAGGGATGACGTTTATGGATATTTTTGTACATGAAAGAGGACAAGTGATACATGAATTATACTGTTGGGGAAACCGATTTCTTCATGGTAGATTAAAGTGTTCTACCTAAGTAATAATAAGTACTTTTAAAATTTTACAGAAAAACAAATCAAATCAGTTGGGTGCACTTTTCATTTCCTTTAGTCAATACAAATTCTTAATAGGACCCAAAAAGCATTAAACATAGAGAAAAAAATCTTAGTAAATTAAACTATACTAACATTAAGAATTTATTTATTTTTTTATTTTAGAGGTGTGGGGTACAATTCAGGACTAGGTACATAAGCTGTCATTGTATTGAACACCACCATTTAAAGAGAAAAAAGGTAAGCCACGACTGGCAGAAGATATTTGCAATACCTATGAAGAATATATCGGTATACAAAATATATTGGTATACAGAATATGTAAAAGACTTTTACGAATTTATAACAAAAAAGCAAATAACCCTAAAAAATTAGCCAAAAGTATGAATAATTAATTCACACAAAATAAGATATCCAAATGACAATATATCAGAAAATACTCAACATCGTTAATCATCAAAAATGCAAATTATGTGCATTAAATGTGAATTAAGGTCACAAGACGATACTATTACATTTACCAGAATGATTAAAGTGAAAAATCCAATAGTATCAATATGGGGATGACACTGACTAAATGGAACATTTACTCTCACACACTGCTGTAGAAATATAAATTGGCATACCAACTTTGGAAAACTGACAAGCCCCATTAGCACGCCACATTCACATATTCTATGACCCAGGCATTCCACTTCTAAGTATGCATCCAACAGAAATGTGTGCACATGGTCCGCAGAGTACACATGCAAGAACTCACCACAACCGCTCCAAACTCCGAGCACGACAAACACCCACTCTGGCGGCGCAGTCACACGACGGACGGCGACAGCAATGAGGATGAAAGAGTGCAGCGAGGCAAGCCGACCGCAAAGCCCTGACGCTAAGCCTGACAGCCAGGCGTATGCGGAATGAAAAGCGCGCACCGAACGGCCCCGTTCATGTAACCTTTACAAGCAGGTTATCCTCAGGGAAGGGGCTGTCAACGACTAGAAAGAAGGATGAGGAGCGCTCTGGGTACTAGCTATGGGGGTGTGCTCAGTGTGTGAAAGCAGATTGAGCTTTACACACTAAGGACTTGGCACTGCTCGGTGTGTTTGCTGTATCAAACATAGAGTTTACATCAAAAATTAAAAATACGAACATAAAAACTGAGTCACGAAATAGATAAGTCAAAACCTGTGACAAACATTAGATTGCACGTAACTGAAGAATCAGAGAACTAGAAAACAGAAACGTAAAAAAGCCACTCCACACAGAAACAGGTGGCCCTCAAATCAAAGCCCACCCCAGGTCTTTTCACATAGTCAAGGGGAAGAAGGAATTCCCGTCATTGAAGAAAGATGAAGACACCAGAGCTGCCACTGAGTTTGATGAGATCCCGTTGTCCGCCCTGCTCCCACTCAAACCCATTCCAGTCAGGTTTCACCTCCACCACTCCACTGAAACTGTCCGTCACTGCCATCAATGCTAATAGGTAAGGTGAAGTTGACATCTTACTTGGCAGATTCAACAGCACTTGACACAACTGATTACTTCCTGTATCTTGATACATTTTCTTGGCTCCCCAGACACTGCATTTTGGTAATTTTTCTATTTCAATCGTTTCTCTTCTCAATCCTTTTGCGGGTTCCCCTCTTCTCCCTGACTTCTTATATTGCTGGCACCCAGGTTTCAGTCCTTGTTTCTTTAC